ATTGAGCATCATAAAAGTTTGCAGGTAGGCCAGAGACGTATTTTGTCTTCGAACTTCGATCGTTTCTATCAATGCGGATTCGGGGAGGAGCCCCTCGTGTATATCCGAATCTGGTTGCTTCAGTGGTGCATCGACCTTCAAGATGGCAGTAGTCCAACAACCTGAGTAAATTCATGAGTTCGACGCTTCGCCATTTCGGCCCCTTGATGATGTATTGCACTTGCGGTTTCTTCATGCCAGGATCCTCATCGTCAGAGGACATTCCTGCGACGCCTAGCTCATCGAAGAACGAGAGGAAGGACTCAAGCGAGTGGAAGGTGATGATGACCTCCCTTCGACGATGGAACAGCTTTTGGGGTGTGAGTTTGTGTGTTCAATAGGCAATAGGAAGTGACTCACGGTATTTTTCCGCTGCCACCTTTTGGAAAATAGAGAGCGAGGATTTTTGTTGTCCTCCTGCATTTTCTGTCTTTCCATCCAAGATGCATGAAGTGTTTTGAGTCGTAAAAGGAAAGCTTCGCGGATAGCATCACGAGTGTGAACATCGGGTGTGGCAATCAACTTCCTCTTCTCAAGAATTTCTACAAAGACATATGAAGCACCCTTGTTCCACGCCGATTTGGGACCACCCGCGATCCAGTATCGAAAATTGTCGACTGAGCAAGGGCGTGCAAGCGGATTCGTTTTGAACAGCAGAGTAAATTCATCAGCCTCGTCCTGGGAGACTGTCTCCTTGAGCTGATCCTGGCCTTCCATTATTTCATTCAACCATTTCCGCATCGTTTCCTATATTGAGGACCTTTGGATAAGCTGAAACACATAATGCAAGTAAGTACATACCTTGATTTTCAGTTCTTCAGCAGGTCGATGCTTGACCCCTCCTGAGCGAGCAGGCTGCTTTTTCCTAGCATAACGGAAGAAGGGATTGCCATTTTCTCCTTCGTCGTCCCCATCCTCGCCATCGCCATTGCCGTTGTTGCGATTCGTGGTGCTTCCCGCAGCTCCACCGTCACTAGGCTTTGCCGCGGCGCCACCGTCGTTAGAAGGCTGGGGTCCTTGGTTACTTCCGGATCCATGTCTCTGACTATCACTATCTCCCTCGTCCTGATGACCCGGTGACCCTTTGTGTTTGCTCTTTCCCGATAACATATCTAACGTCTCCCCAATTCGGCCGAGTATCTCTGTGTTCTGCGCTAGGTGGGTTACCACCTTATCTATCTTGTGATCTTGTTTCTGCAATACCTGGTCTTGTTTCTTAAGTATCTCTGCGGTTGAATTTTGCAAATGATGATACAGCTCCCCCATCGTCTTTGTTTGATGATTAAGCAGAGCTTGCAACTAGATAGATATAGTTTAATAGTATTATATGCACATAATTACATTGCACACTTACATAGTCTACGGGGCCCTGGCTATTAGATTGGGTATTTGACTGGGCTCCGGTGTGAGAAGTGGGCTGGGCTCCAGGAGTTTTGTCGTTGGACTGGGAGGGACCAGGCTCAGGATCATGCACTCTCCTTCTTTTGCCTTTCTGGATAGTGGGCGACGGTGGTTGCTAGCAGATGTATGAGTGATCTTGTTCCTCAGATAAAAATATGAATTTGATTACACACCTGCATTATCGGTTGGTTTCTGGGGCCTGGGGCTCTCGGAGTCATATCTGGAGGGGCTCTAGGAGTAGCACTGACATCGTCCATCTGAAAATCTTCAGACCGCGGAGGTGGGGTCTGAGGAGGTGGGGTCTGCGGAGGTGGGGTCTGCGGAGGTGGGGTCTGCGGAGGTGGGGTCTGCGGAGGTGGGGTCTGCGGAGGTGGAGTCTGCGGAGGTGGGGTCTGAGGCGGATGTGGTGATTGAGTATGGAAGTGGCCCTGTGGAACCTGGGGTGCCATTTGAGGCATTGTTTGTGGGTTCAGTGGCGCAAGCGGCATCGGGTCGTCCTCTCCAGAATCACTCGGGCTCTGAGGCACACTGCCTGGAGTATTGTATGAATCCATGGTCCTGGAAGAATCAGAATCGCTCGAACGGTCAATGTCCACAGTGTTGGTCGAAAGACTAAAGAGGGCGGGAACTCGCATCTCCAAGACCAAAGAAAGTGGACGATAGTTTCTGAGATTCCTGTGGGAGAATCAAGCTATCGATCAATCATTCATGCATGAAGCATAGGCGCGATATGCGAGAAATTTGCTGGACATCGCTTATAATTATTGGAAAAATCAACGTAGTTTTAGGGTGCTGGATGGTGTGGTGCAAAGATCCGGGGTTGTCGTCTGTCGTACTAGTCTCTACTCGCCTCGCGAAAGTCTGTAAATATAACCGCTTATGTCCAGTTTAAAACCAGGACAAGCTGGAGATGTACGTAGATCCAGGAAGATAGTTGGAGTTGAAGGGAGACAGACCACGCGAGCTCTTCGCCGTTCGGGCCGGTTATTCAAATCATTCAAAGTTACCAAAAAAGGAAACGGGGCTTTGATTTCTGAGTATTATTCTACGTTTATTTACAGCACTGATTCTACAAACGCTTCCAGTATTGATGGTGGAGACAGAGTCGAGTTGTACATGGCTTGCGTAGTATACTATTTATTCCTACGGCTTCCAATGCGCGCAATAGTTGCGATGAAAGAAACCTAAGCACGAATGAGTACACATGGTCCTTAATGAAGGAGTTTACATACCTCTTTCTTGAGCTTTTGTAGTATCTCTGAGATTTTTGCAGTCTGTTCGAGGAGAGGTGCAAACGCCAAGGCGTATTCCTGTTTACGACAACAATATTAGTGGGCTAGACATCATTCATATTGAGGCGATACACACCTGTGTTTCTCGAGAGGGAGTACGCTGACGATATACCAACGCGTTGAACAACTTGGAGTTTGTCTGGTAACGAGCTTGCGAAACATGAGTGGCAAGATCCTCCAGGGCATCGAAAAGTAGGCGGCAGGTTGCATCCGCATCTGGAAGCACCAACGTAAGATTGACCAAAGGTTCTGAGTACTTGCCAATGATGATCTAAGTAGAATTCAGTGAATAGGCGATCCGATATCGTTGCGCACTACCTTTCCCAGAAGCTTTAGGAGCACTAATTGAAGAATGCGAATTTCGGGTTGCAGTGAGAATGATTGCGCCTTTGTTCAGACGGAACAGTCAGTATGAGAGGAGCAGCATTGAATGCAAGGACATACATTATTCTCGGAGCTTCCTGTGCGCACAAGGTCCATATATTCACGCTCCCGGTTCTCGATTGCAGAACTCAGCTTCGCGAAGAGAGTCTTGTACTTCTGGTCGAATGACTCTAGGGTCACTGTAGTTGTGCTCATGAGATCATCGATTAGCTCCATGTCGAAAGTCGAGGGCGTAGTTCAAGCCCTAAAAACAAGAGTCAGCTTTTATAGCGAGAAAAGACGTACGGTACAACTTGAACATCAAATTCAAAGGGACCGGACAACGGAGCAGAATTGAATTAATCTTGCGCCATGAATGGAGGCTTTGAGGAGCTCAAAGATCTAGACTTATTTATTCATATTCGCCATTACCTGTGTCTAGTTTGAAACCAGGACCAGGTGGCTAGGCAGGTCAAAGGGGTGATTGAGAAAGAGCAGACCGGCGCTTATCGATGTATCATCGTCTTCGGGCCGATTTATTTTTTACGGTTTGTTGACTAATTAACTCGACAGCTTTCACTGGTCACCACCACCGAGTCAAACTCCGTGGATGGTCAATCTTCACCTCGATGGGACTGCGGATCCCTTTCACTCTTTCAAGCGCGTTCGTTTCGGTCTGTCTCAATGGGATCAAAATCCCCTTCTTCCCTTCAAGCATTTTCACCTCAATGGGCCCGCTTCCTCAAGGTGCCACTGTGTTTCGTAGTCCCTAGCTCGAAGAGCCTCATAAGGACTTGCGCTCTTATCTCTTTCCCCTCATAATGTCTTTCTCACTCGTGCGCTGTGTATCTTGTGAAGACGCCGAGATAAATCAAATGCAGCGGCGAATGGCAGCTGCTTCAGACGAGACTAACAATCTTCGACTCGAGCTTGATGCTTTGGCAGAGCGCCTTAAACTACGCGATGAGGTAGGCAATTTTTTTGCTGATTCAATGGATATATCTCTAACTTCTTGTTAGACAGAGCTTCGTTCGCGTCTGGCCAAACAGAAAGCTCTGTACGTGCAAACGGTTGCTACTTTGAAGGAAACCATGGAGGATAATAGGCTGCTCCAAACGGAACTCTTGCATATGCAAGAAATTGGGAAGTGACTAGTAGTGGTATGTTGTCGAGTCTCTTTTGATTCATCGCGATACTCGGTTAATCTAAATCATCAATGGACAATAATAGGTTGCTGCAAAGGAAAATATTTGTGAAAACTGGAGTGACTAGAATTAGTACGTTGTCGACTCTCCTCTCATGCATTGTGATACTTAAATCAGACTTAGGGAATGGTGAATCATGAGCTCACGGGCTTCCTTACTGACATACGGAGAGTATGCGTCTCGGTTGTCGTCGGATACCTTTCTCGTAATCGCTGTATCTTTGTATGACGAAATTCGCTAGCGCTATACATATGTATGCCATATCTCTCAGATCCTAGCTTTCATTCAGCAGAGAATGGTTTGATTATGATCATGATCATGACCATTCTTCGAATCCCTCCGTGACCCTGCAAACATGCATAGATAAGTAACAACAGCTACATTCATAACATTGAATGGTGTAGCCATCGCATGGTCCTGAATTACCCCGAAATGGATGGGCTTGAATGAGTTGGTCACAATTAGATCCGAGATTTAGAGGTCATGTTCTGGACCCTGTTTTCTTTCCTTTTGATCGAACCAGGATCGTAAACGATATTCGGTGACGCCTCGTTTTCGACACTCATGGGATGTCTGAATCCTAGGAATCCTACAGAGGCATCCTCACTCCGGATCCTCCTCAGTCCAACAATCACTTGCCTGATAAACAAAGGCTGCTGACACAGTGCTCTCGAGAGCAATGAACCCCTCCTATACCAAGATGGGTGTAATAGACTTGCCTACTGGTACTGTCAATGCATTAGCCTTTTCGATGGATGGACGTTATTTGGCCAGCGCCAGCGACGACAAAACGGTGCGCGTTCACGACATGCAACGTGGGTTGTCAAAAATTTGGGAACACAAAGGCACCTACCCATACACTGCTGTCGCATGGAGAGATGACATTCTATTCGTTGGTGATGAGGGAGGGGGGATTATCTGCTCTTATCCCACCTTGGTGAGTTCTGTGTTTCCGGTAATTCAGAATTTAATATCTGAACGCGACACGTAGAGGTGGCCACGTCGACGAACAAACGAGGTCATACATGAGGCCTCTTCACCTGTCGCAGTTATTGAATTCAACGAGAGCGGTGATCATCTTCTTATCTGCTCAGGTGCCGACGTTTTACTCTTCAAGAATTCGAAGAAGGGTATGACTTATTCCCTATTTGAATGCTCGTATGCTTCTTGATACAAGTCATAGGTTCCGGAGCATGGCGATATACAGACCGCCTGCCACGTCCTGCGTTTGGCGAGACTGAGAATTTCGCCCAACCTCCGATTCTAGCGACAGGCGTACATTTTCTCGAGAGTGATAATGAGTGTCTTATTGCATACTACCATCATGGTTTTTGGTGAGGGATCTATGTTCACTCGATGCAGATTTACTCTGAACATCCTGTATATTAGGAAGTGCAACATCGACGCTTGGGAGACGACTCGTATCTGGGGTCCAGACGAGAAAATGTATGTTCTCTCCGTCCTGGAGGTAGTCAATAGCTTAGGACTGTCATAGAGGAACTTCTGCTAAATCCCCAGACTCAACTTCTTTGGTGGCGACAAATATACGCAATGGTCTGGATTGGTTCAGGAACACGCCTCAAGACTTCAAGAAAATTAGTACCTCGTTTGAAGTTCAAGAACTTGGATCCAATGTTCCTCTTCTTGCTCTGTTCATCAACAAAGGTCAAGCAACAGTAATGGGTACGACGAAGGGATACGCTGTGATATTCGATGCAAAACACGGGAGAAGGATCCAAACTTTGAAGCACGGAACGGGTGAGTCTGCCTAAAATACATATATCCATCGCTAATTTTTCCTGGCTTGAGACCGCTCCTGGGTGACCGCCTTAGTAAGTGCTTTCGACCTGTCCCCGACTCCTTCTGCTAATCCTTGTTTTATCACACTCTAGGCATATGTTGAACTTGATGTACCAACCCGTCGTCGAATGATAGCCACTGGCAATGGTAACTGTGTGCAGCATACACAAATATTACTGTGGAATGAAGACGATGGCACTCCCGCGAAGGGAACTAGCAAGTTGTGGGTTCTACCTAGACTTGTAAGGTGCGTTTCTCATATCCATGACTCCGTTACTGAAACAATATACAGATTATGATGATTGTAACTGTTGGCCGTATGATCCTCGTGGCAATGGGTATAACCTTCGCACTCTTGCTGTTATTCCCCTCACAATGGTCAAGGGACAGTGTCTCGAAGATGCTTGGATACTCCGAGAAGATTTCATCCATGTCTTATCCGGTGACATCTTCCCCTTCCTCCGCCTCTTCCCCTTCCTCGTCTTTTCTGTCATCCGGCGGTCACTCACCCCCGAAGACGAAATTCAAAGAGATACTAGTCAATTTGGGAGAGCTCGTCCTGGTATGTGTCCTTTGGTTCATTGGGATCTCAATGAACTGATTAAGTCGGAACTTTGGACAGTTCTAATACCAGTGCTTCGATATTGCTTCTAGTTCATGTGTATTTTTCGTATGCCTTGCATATTCACCGCTAGCAGCCATTATTCAAACAGAATAAATACTCAACGAGCATTGATTTCAGTATTCTTTCGAGATCGCAAACCCTGATGAGCCGTCGTCCTTACATTCATGACCCAGCAACAGCAATGTCTTAAGCGTTTACTGTTCAACTTTTTTGACGCTAACTCCTCGTGTGTGTACACGTACACTGTTTCTAGTTGTAAATATAATTTATAAGTGCCCTACTAATCTCACTCGCATGACGCACGAGTCACTGCTCTTCGAATTCTGGGATCCGGACATGTACATGTACATCGCAATATTATATTCGCTCGCGATCACCCACAAACAGTTCCGTCTCTACCTCCTGCTCGTCGAACCTGTCTTCAGATGTACTGGCTGTTCGGATAACATCCAACTCCGTCACCACTGCTTGCTCTCTCTTTCTGAGCTCATCACCTCTAACCCAGCGGATCACATACACGTATGTTAAATGTATCTGCATTTTGACCGATTGAGGTGTCCAGAGTATACATAATGTAACTTTAGCTCACCAGTGCGACAATAGTTTCGATGACGAGGGCCAGACCGAGGAACAAGCAAAATACGAGTCCCATTATGATAATCAACGTCCCCGCATTCTCCTCTATTTCTCTGGCGAGCTCGGGAGAAGGAGGTGGCGGATCGGTAGAGGTGCCGTCGGTGATATAGAATGCGAGGATGATTTCGCGGAAAATTACGCGTGCGAGTGAAGTATTGGTCGGACCAGTCATAGTTGAACAATCGCAGAAACAGTTGATGACCCAGAGAGCGTATCTTAAATTCTGTTGAAAAGTTTCAGGGTAAAAGTAGTGGAACTAAGAACATTCTATCGATCGCGGAAGCGATAAGCCTGCGTGTTGGCGCGTGGAGAGGACAATACGAATGGGGATTTTCAGTCCGGATTTGTTAGAAAAGACGTGAAGTATGACATAAGTGAGTGACTCTTTGTATGTTTTCAAGTTTCTTTGGGGCGTATGTCATAAAGTATGCAGCCCCTATCATTTTCCTTTTCTCACCGTCTCGACGCCTTTACTTGTACGATACATCATCCCATCACTGTCAAACCCCCATCGATTACTGATCCATCGATTACTGATCCACCTGACCCATCTTCTCCTTCTATTGGCTTCCGCCACCTTCCTTGTTCCTAAACTGTACAGTATTACATCGTTGTTTCTCGCAGACCGGATTATGTATATATAGCCAACCCTCCACAGCCTGGTTCCTTATCTTGACCTCTCTGTCATTATCTGGGACCAGGTATGTGCTTACTTATTATTACCTATGACTACGATACTCAATATATCTCTGTCATTATCTGGGACCAGCCTGCCGCCGTTCTGCTCAGTCGCTCCGCCTTGTTGCCTTGTTCAGTTGCTCCGCCACGCCGTTCTGCTTAGTCGCTCCGCTTTCCCGCTCCGTTAGTCACTCCGCCTCTGCCGCTTCGTGACATTAGGTCAAGATCCATTACTGCACTGACAGCCTACCGATAAGGTTGTCCTTGCAGGGTCTATAGACACCACGTCTTCCCCAGTTCCGCCCGACTCTGAAACACCTGTTGCCAGTATAGACTGCTCCGCACTCCCGCACGCACTTGACCCCAGAGACCAAGCTCACGCTCATAACAACGACGATACTTGGCGCGATTGCCAGTCTCAACCTTGCCCCAACGCCCTTTCGAACTCAATCCGAGAGCCACTCACTGTGAGCAATATAACCTTCCTGCCGATTCCCCAGCCCCGATTGCCTACTCCCATCATGTCGACTCCCATCCCGCCTGCCCCAAACACCTCTGCGGAGGATCTCATGGCTCAGCTCATCAGACAAGTAGCTAACCTTGCTTCAGCTATGGAGGAACGCTCATCCTCTAAGTCAAGCATGAACAAACCCGAGGTTTTCAAGGGTAAAGATGGCGCTGAAGCCCGTCGCTTCATGGCTCAGTTCCAGAATTGGGCGTCAGAACAACCGGATCTCGCCAAAAGCCAAGTAAAACTCATCAAGTCCGCCTTGGGCTTCTTCACAGAAAGTGCTGGAGATTGGGCAACTCCCCATCTGCTACATTTCAATGCGGAAAATCCCCCTTTCGGAGGAAATTGGGAGGCATTTCTGAAGGAATTTAGCCAACGGTTTGAACCAATGGACCCAGGTATGGAAGCCCGTAGCGAGATCAAGAATCTCAGGCAAAGTAAAGGACAGACAGTTGCGGAATTCGCTCAGAAGTTCAAGGATATCGGAGATCGGACTGAAATGTCTGATATTGACTTGCGGGAACGTTTCTTCACTGCATTACTCCCGGAGATCCGACAACACCTCATCACCGTAAACATTGCCCAAGGAATTGCTCCGACTCTGAAGGAGGCAATCAAACGGGCCATATCGGTGGATGTATACCTGCACGATCCCACCATGACTGGCCGGAACTCTGGATACCCTCCCACGCATACCGCTCATACTACTCCTGCTGACCCCCACGCTATGGACATTGATGCAACCCACACCAGTAATGGGAATACTAGGGAAGCATTCCTAGCTCGCATGCGAGGACGATGCTTCGGCTGCGGTGCCCAAGGTCATGTCAAGCAAAACTGCCCACACCGAGAAACCACCTGCCGCTACTGTGGACGTCGAGGACATCTGGAAGCAGTCTGCCAAGACAAATTCATGGGACTCGGACGAGACCGAGGCCGACGCCAGCAACCTCGACGCCAACAGATATCCGCTACGGGACCCGCGCCATTCTCCCTATTCCCAAACGAATCCGTCCAAATCGCGTCCTCGACCCCAACATCTGCTCCTGCACCCGTAGCTGCTACTCCGAGCCCCCCTAACCAGGACTTTTCCAATCAGATTGGTCAAATAAGGGAATTACTTGATCGTGCTAACGCTATGTCCTCCTCATCCTCTGGCTTCCAACAGGGTTTTTAAAGAGGGTACCCGCTTCGGCTGCACCGAGAGTACCCCGTAATCAGTTTGTTATGTTCGCTACTTCCTCGTATGACTCGCACCCATCATGTACAATATCGTCGATCCGGGAATTAAACTCTACTTCCCCACATTTCCGAATTCATGCGAGACTAAGAGGAAGGAATCACAGTATAACAACTGCAGCCATGGTAGACTGTGGAGCTACCGCCCTGTTTTTAAACCAAGACTTTGTCACCCGGAACCATGTAAGATGTGCACCCCTCCATAAACCAATCGACGTTTTTAATATCGATGGAACACCTAACCGAGCTGGACGGATAACCCATTTTGCACGTCTAGCACTCACAGTGGATAATCAAGAGCGATGGATGGACTTTCTGATCACCAACCTAGGAGGTGAAGACATCATCCTTGGACTCCCCTGGCTACGGAAGGTAAATCCGGAGATTGATTGGGAGAAAGGACGACTTTCAGTAAAGCCTCCTCGAGTAACGATAGAAGAAGTCCCAGACGAGGAGATCTTGTACTCTCATCTAGCCGCCACTCACACAGAAACCCCGATCCTCGAACTCCCGGAACTGGAACCTCCCGCAGAAAACCCCCACATTGAGGTGCCACTAGAAGCGACCCTTGAACCGAGTGAATCAGCAACGGTGGAAGAACCACCAATACACCGAATTCGAGCCAATCATAAAACTCGCCGGGCATGGGTAAAAGCAGGAATTCTAGAGGAACAGACGGAGGAAGTCTGGTGCGCCGCAGGATTCACTTACTCCCAGCAGCTAGCAGAGGAAGCCAACCGAGACAAACCCGTTAAAACCTTCGAAGAAATGGTCCCTGAGCAGTATCGTGATTTCAAGAAGGTTTTCTCAGAATCCGCCTCCGAACGATTACCTGCCCACCAACCTTGGGACCATGCGATTGATCTCGTACCTGGAGCACCGGCAACCATGCGCACCAAGATTTATCCCATGTCCCTAAACGAGCAGGAGGAGTTAGATCGTTTCCTAGAAGAAAACCTACGGAAAGGCTATATCGTCCCCTCAAAATCACCAATCTCATCACCGGTCTTCTTCGTAAAGAAGAAGGATGGGAAACTCCGCTTCGTACAAGACTACCGGAAACTGAACGAGTACACTGTGAAGAACCGATACCCTCTCCCATTAGTTGCTGACATCATTAGCCGACTTCAGGGAGCCAAATACTTCACGAAGTTTGATGTCCGCTGGGGTTACAATAACATACGGATTAAGAAGGGGCATGAATGGAAAGGCGCGTTCGCAACAACCCGAGGCTTGTTCGAGCCTAAGGTCATGTTCTTTGGTCTCACAAATTCCCCTGCCACGTTCCAAGCACTTATGAATGCTATATTTGCTGATCTCATTGCAGCCGGCAAGGTGGCAGTCTACCTAGATGACATCCTTATCTTCAGTAACGATCTCGAGGAACACCGACGAATGGTACGGGAAGTATTAACCCGGTTAGAAAAGCACGACCTCTACCTACGACCAGAAAAATGCGAATTTGAACAACAACAGATTGAATACCTCGGACTCATCATCTCAGAAGGGGAGGTGAGAATGGATCCGGTAAAAGTAGCGGCTGTTCGCGACTGGCCAGTCCCTACTAATCTTCGGGAACTACGAGGGTTCTTGGGATTTGCAAACTTCTACCGACGCTTTATCCGGAATTTTGCCAAAATAGCACGACCTCTGAACGACCTGACGAAGAAAGACACCAGCTTTACCTGGACCGACACTCGACAGAAAGCATTTGATACCCTTCGAGAAGCCTTCATCTCCGCACCGATCCTTGCTCTATGGACACCAGACAGGCCTACTCGAATCGAGGTAGACGCATCAGGCTTTGCCACGGGAGGCGCCCTTATGCAGAAGCAAGACGATGGCCAATGGCATCCGGTAGCCTTCAGATCGGCATCCATGCAGCCAGCGGAACGGAACTACGAAATCTACGATCGAGAAATGCTTGCTATCATTGAAGCACTGAAGGATTGGAGGAACTTTCTAGAAGGACTCCCTCAACCATTCGACATCATTACGGACCATTCGAACCTCGAATTCTGGCGCACTG